ACACTTTACTATCTATCCAATGAGGCCATGATTGTTGATCGCTGACTGACTGGCAGTAAAGCAACAACTGGCGCTAGTACGTCATGTGACAGTAACAACGTGATGATGTAGTACGTCAGGATTTTATTACTACCCATATTCATATTATATAGAACATACTTTTTTAATGGTTGAAAGTAAAGTTTCAAACCAAATGTAGTACTAGACAGTATGTAAATTCGGACACAGTGTAAGCATTCGCATCAAAACCGAATTGTACTTTGAGCTTTAAGGTATTACGGGTTGAGTAGAGTGTGAAAAGCCCTTTTGGGGGCCACAGTCACAGTAAATCTCTTGGCAAGCTGTAAATGAATAATAACACAAACATCTTTATTATTATCATTATAGTCATATCTTCTCTTTAAAAAAAAAACCAAACATTCAAAATAATCTGCAACCAAGTCAAAGGTTATGGAATATTACAGACGAGTTCTTGATGAAATCATCTCCGGCATTGAGCTGGCCTGGGTTAAAAGGGACCTTAAGCCCCAACCACAACCTGAAGAGGGCGTCCTGCTATGGCACCCAAGGGCGAGGGGAGGTTACACAGTAATGGTCACAGACTTTGGGGAAACAAAGAAAAAATTGGTCCAGAAAACCATAAACATACTCTTTAAAACATAACTTGATTTATTTTTATACAAAATATAATGCTAATGTCAATAAATAAGTGTCCATAGAAGTCCATGAGTCAGGGACCGATCTCACTGCTGTATGTCATGGCACTGCAAATCTCGTGAGAATACAAGACAAAAAGAGAAAATCTCACAGAGCGACCGGTGAGAATGTAAGAAAGAGTGAGGGAAGGCGGATGAGATGGCAAAACCTTGAGGCTGGAGCATGTGAAGTGAGCGCTTGACACACTGAAACCAAAACGTATTGTAACAGAGCAGTGTGAGCATTTGGTGATGCCGTAACGCAGATGATGGAAACACATCGGTTATTGACAGACTCACTCAGCTCACAAACTCACAAAGCTCCTTAGTTTGAGACTGTTAGAAGGCTAGATTAATTTTGGCACCTTAAAGAAATTGATGTAAACATAAGCAGCTCTAGGTCACAGTCCCCGTCTCCAATCAAATACAAGTTTGTGAAAGTCTGTCTATTTTGTGCAGCTGTTGAAAGAGGATGAGGACAATTGCTAGTAAGTGATGCAACAAAGTCAAACACTCCTATTACCATTATCGAAGCTGGCTGCACTGCAAGCATGTGTTGAGATGCATGATATATTGGTACCATATTGGTTCTCAGTCAATATTAAAGAATGTATATTTAATTGTGCTGCTTATTTCACATAATTTTACATAATATACACAAAAAATGTAAGGCCTAAATTTAAGATGTACTGTATGTATTTGAATTGCATATAAAGTTTTCATCCATTTGGATCACAGTTTTAACAAACTAATAAACTTAATGTGATGCATATTTGTCAGTCATACATAAATGAAACAGGTAAGAAATAGGTAAGATTTCTGTAAAAGGTTTTTTTTTTTTTCATCAGTAAATCCAATTTGTTTCAACATTTTAACTAACTGAATTTTGCTTGTTCCACATCTAGCCATATTTTAACCACCTTTCTACTTTAACTGAATACATTTCATTATTTTCACAATGAACAGATTAATTCTGATTCTAAGCGGTTTTAATAAATGATTTTGTAAATATGATTATTACAAAAAATTTAATTGGTACAAGTAGTTAATACTAAACTATGGCTTGATTATTTGTTGTACTTTTTAAATGTATTTATTCACTTACTGTTTATTTATTCATTTATTTTTTAAGTGCAGAAATCTTACCCGTTTCATTTATGTATGACTGGCAAATACGCATCACATTAAGACTAATAATCTACGTTTTAATTGTCATCCAAATGAATATTGAATATGCAATTAAAAAAAATCTTAAGTTTAAGCCTAAATATTTTTGTGTAGACTACCTTTACCATCACCTAATACTCACTTAAATTTGATCTTTAAAAATACTAATAATCTGTAATAATAATGAACTAATAATTAAACTACATTATAATGCTGTAATGCCTAAATTCAATTGGACTGATTTTAGTGTTTTAACAGCTTATCGGTTTCGGGCCGGAATTTTAATATCAGTGCATCCCTATATATTTCGCTAACTTGAAGCATAAATCTTAAATTTGCAAATAATTACACATGTAAATGTTTAAAATGTTTAAATGCATTTTTAAAAGTAAAAAAATTATAACATTCAAATTGAAATTAAATGTTAATATTAGTTTAATAAATGGCAAATCCAGTTTACCTTATTTTCATTTTGCAGCATTGACGCTGATTATAATAGGAAAGTTTAAATCTGTTGCATCACACTGGTTGCAAAGTGTTCACACTGACAGCGATTTTCAAAGCAAACTGAAGTTACTTTCAATGTGAGTTGACAATTTGAGGCAACGTGAGCGACAGCTGAGCCGAGTTCGACATGTATGAACTGCGACAGTGGAGCTCATGTGATCTGCTGATACAGTACAGTACAGTGTCCTCTTAATCGCTTTCATTGGGAATGCAAAGTGCACGGTAAATGTTGAGAGGTCCACCAGCAAGCTTCCCTCTTTGAGTGTCTTAAGAGCGGGACGGTGCGTAACTGTGCGTATCCCTGTGTAATCGAGTGTTTACTGTCAAAGGCCGCAATGACATTGACATTGACATCTCTCTCCCATTGTCTTAAGAAAGTTCACTGAACTTTTATCACACACACACACACACATCTGGCTTAAGTTAGATTGGTCACATCATGTCGGACAATAAGAGCAATACTAAATATATGTTCATGTACATATATAACCATATACACAACTATTTTACACATATTCCAAAATGTACATCTTCATGCACAATTGATTAAAAAAAACAAAAGGCATCAGTTTTTTTTTTTGGACTACAGTACATGAAGTTCCTCTAAATTGCCACGTGACTCTCAAAATCTCACTTTCAGAGTCCTTAATTCTTTATACATTTATTTACTGTACATATAAATATTTACAAAGAACCAAATCCAGGAAGTACCATGCGGATATGGATGATTTACCCCATTTCAATGTGAAATGACACATCTGATATTAAGGTTTTTTGCTCAAACTAAAAGAACTGCTTAAGGAAGGAGAACGTTTAGGGAAAAAATGAACACCTGTTTTTCAGATCAGCACTGATATAAAAAGCCTAACTCTATAATAAAATTGCTCTATTATTGTGGACTCACTCGCACAGTACTGGTTGGTTTCGGATTCACATTATGAAATGTATAAAATATTTCATGATACATAAGTTTCGAGCGGTAGCGCAGCTCACAGTGTTAACATCAGTCCAGCCGGCTCGTACTACGTTCTAAATATCGAGCAAGTTCAGATGCTGTTGAAGGCAGCTGTAAAGAAAATGAGTTTCAGGCGTAACACTGAGCATTAAATGTGTATAAATGAAGCGTGCTGGACCAGTGAAATCTTGAAATGGATTTTACAGCAGCTCATGGCTTTTTTAAAGTTTGCTGTACAATACTATAAAACCTGTGCAATGCTTTTCTTATTCGCTAATGCTGACAAATAATTTAAGAGATATTCTCTTTAAAACATGTACGTTGTGTGATAAACTGACAGAAAAAAAAACATTGTGATGACATGAAAGAGTTAAGAGTTAAATTCAAATATATTGTTATCTGCTATTATTGCTGTAACATTTATTACAACAATAAATTAAATTACTGCAATTTTGCCATGATTTTAGATAGTTTTAGAGGCGGATTTATGTTTTTACATTTACAAAGACAAAATATTTTCTGTGGAATAATGTGCACTGACCAATAAAGCTAATTTTGATTTCATGTCGACTAAGATCATCTGCTTTTGCCTAAAGAAAAAGGCTGGAACACTGAGAAACAGCTTGCAAAACTGCAGTACCTGTCTACAGGAGGCGCCAGAGAGACTTGTGATTTTCACACCATTCACCCTCAGAAACATTCACTCACTCAAACACAGGCTCACACAGTTAGGCCAGAGAGAGATACAGCGCAATTGAGCACTCAGGACTAACAGCTTGCTCGGTATGTCGCATATGTTCCAGATTTTCTTCAATATATGTACAGGAAAAACAAATCAGGTCACAGTTTAACAAATTAAAAAATAAATAACATTAAAAATACTAATTTTAAAATGTGAGTGACCAGTCTAATTAAGACCATGTCATTCTCTCATCTCTTGTATGTTTGTTTCATTTAATATCTCTAAAATTGGCGGTCCTCCTCTTTTTTCTCCTATGTTACCAATATTGTTGTTTGAAATTAACAGGCCCACATGAAATCTGTACACGCAGAAATCTCAAACAGAATAGTTATGCCATCTTTTACAAAATTCTACGTCCCCTTGCCTTAGTTTATTAAATTATTTTGGCTAATTTGATAATGCTTTCAACTACCAGTATGAGTTTAGTACTCTCATTTTACCATATTTAAATCCATTCCACAGATTTTCCCTCAAATTCAGTGCAGAAAATCTGGAAAATTCCATCTGGGCCTGGAAATTCATTTGCATTCTAAATAATGTGTAAATATTGTTGTACCTATTTGTTTAGCACCTTGAAAAAGTGCCATTCCTCTCTTTACGATGCAGCCAATCACCTCTCGACCCCTCGCCTCACAGAGCCAACCAGAGCACAGAGACAGAGGACAGGTCAGGGGTCAGGGGGGAGGAGCAGATTGGTCAGGCCACTCCAGTGTATGTTACTGCAGAGGCCCTCTCAACTCTCTTCAACTAGAGACGTCAGGAGATAAAAGTAGCATGTTTGCGTGGGAAAAAAAAAGAAAAAATGGCTGTGAAAATCAGTAGTTAATGCTGCTGCTGTCACATACACTTGGAATGATGGTATGGGGGAAAAAAAGAAGATTTGAAGACTGAAAACTGCATTTTCAACCCTGTGTCTTCCAGTTTCAGGAGAAACAAGAAAAGAAGGTAATCCAACCGTGACAACACAAAAAAAGGAGTACTTTCTCCTCGAGTGGTTGTGCAATGGAGAGAGATGGAGAGAAATAGGGAGACATTGGGTGGAGAGAGTGAGAGAAAGAAAGAGGAGGGAGTCGGGGGTCTATGACTCCGATGAGGAGCGTGACCCCCCCAGCACCAGTGATCTGTAGACGGAGGAGTTGAGGAATCGTGGGTAGGAGTCTCTGTGCATGAGGGTGTAGATCTGCAGCTGTGCGTCCTCAAATATGTGAGGGGTGGGATCCTGCATCCTCCTGTTGATCACTTCCCTAACACGAGAGTCCAGACTCACCTTAAGGACAGAAACAGAGCATTGTGAATTAGGATAATATTCAAATAAAATGCTTATAAAGGATAGTTTTATAGTCATTTTATGATAATACTCAAGGTTAGGATGGTCAAAATTTTGAATTTGGGTTAATGTCTTTTTAAAGCCTGGGTTAACAGACTTTTGAAAGGGGCTTTTAATTCTGAGTTATAAAGGTCTGCTTCGAATTCCATATGCTAGAGTACGGTTAACCAATCAGAAACTGAACCACGCTTGCCTTCATTAAATATTAATGCACTTTGTACAGTTGCAGAAACATTTCCAAGCTGTTTAGTTTCAGCAGCTCAGGAAAACATTAAAAATGTTGAACAGTGACATCAAGCCCTTCTATCACCCTTTTTGACCAACACATTTCAATGACTTTTCCTTTCATTCAATATCATTTATTATATTCAAATAAATGCTGTTCTTTCTATTCATAAAAGTACCCTAAAATGTATCACAGTTTCCACAAAAATATGATGCAATATATAACCTAACAGCAACATTGATGATAATAAGAAATGTTTTTTGAGCAGCAAATCAGCATATTAGAATGATTTCTGAAGATCATGTGACACTGAAGACTGGGGTAATGATGCTGAAAATTCAGCTTTGCATCACAGGAATAAATTACATTTTAAAATAGATTAAAATAGAAAACAGTTATTTGAAAGTGTAATAATATTTCACAGTATTACTGTTTCAATGTATTTTCAATCAATTAAATGCAGCCTTGCTGAGCATTTATACTTGGAGAGTACAATCTCTTAAAAAAAATAAAAAATAAATAAATAAATAAATAAAATAAAAATAAATAAAAAGTACTAATCCCAATTTTGAACGGCAGTGTACCTCAAAAAATCTTAGATATGTTTTCAAGTTTCAGTCCCATGAATCTCTTAAACTTTATGAAACCTGTGCACCATGGGCCACGGCTATTACTACACTGACCTCTCTAGTTTACTTTCTTTCATGACTCTATATAAGGATTCCTTGCATTCTCATACCAGACACTCAAAAGTGTACAAGCACTGGAATTAGGAGCTCAGGTCAACACAAAGCTTCCATCTGAGCTCACTCACTCCCACTCTATTTATATAACCGCTTTACAGTAGAGTCCAGCAGCTATAAATTAATTTATAGCTTCCTTTGCTCAACCTTTGCTCCTTAATTTACTTTTAGAAAGTATGTTTTCCTCAGCTGCCTTTTGAAAGTTGTGGAGTTTGAAGGTGTGAGTTCTGGCTCCGAGGATGAAAAAGCCAAGAGGCACATTCAGCATGTCAGCACAATGAATTAAACAGCATACCAGCAGCACGTGCGCACTGAGAACGCAACGATACTGTGTACAATACATGCACACCCTGCTGTCTCACATCGACAGGAGACAAAACATGAACAGATCATAATAGAAAGCAGAATCAACCGTCACATATGGTGCTAGATGCCTGTATCTCAGGAAATTAGCCTTATAAAACAATAAGCTTCAATCATACATCTGGCAGAATTCCTTCACGCCTCGTTTCTTTGTCACACACTAAGTCTTAAACGTTTACTCTCTTAACATTTAGTGGTGTGAAGTTCATACCAAGCATCAAATTAGTTTTGTTTTTTAAGAAGGCCCCAGTCGTTTCTCATTGGTCAGAATGCAGCCAATCACAGACCTGCACATAGCCTGAAATCTGCATTCCACAAAGGAGAAAAAAGACAGAGGTGATAAAGAACAGCTACCAATCTTTCCACTGCAGTTACAACTGGACTTTTTATGGATATTATATTATGTGCCTTTCTTAGAATAGATTTACATACATGCATGCATGCATGCATGCATGCATGAAACCTCCTCCTCTCCAGCAGGGAAAGAATACAGATATCTGTCTGTATTAAACCTAGTGATTCTCAACCTGTTTAACTTGAAGCCCCCCACCCCCACACTGGTAAACACAATAATTGAAGGCCCGAATCACACGATCAGAAAAACTGTGTAAATACTGTGCCTGAAGAGGTAAAACAGCCTGTCACTGAGGCAGTACCATTAAAGGGACCTTATCTGCCCCTAAAAATGCATTTCAGTACCTTAGAGTAGTAATATGTACCTTTAACGTACTACTATGAACATTTCAGGGGTAAATAAGGTACATGTCATTTTAAGGGTGCTTCTCCAGTAAGATGATGTTGTACCCATAAAAGTATAATTTTTGAACATTTTTACTGAGATCCTGTAGGAGAAAATGTGTCTTCTAGTATTTATGCTGTAATTAGGACAAAGCTGCTTGTTTTCATTTTAACACAAAAATGTATGTATATATTTAATAACCACAATACATTTGACTTTAATTTGATTCCAGATGTTTTAAGAACCGAATGCTCTTCAATAAAAACATTTTTTTGAGAGGGAAAAATTTAAATGAATTTAATTTCATTCTTTTGTTTTTCATTTTGTGGTCCCTTTTGACGTTTGCTAAGGCCCCCCCTGGTTGAAAACCACTACTTTACACAAATTGCTCAGAGACAGGGGAAAAATGGACTTCGTCACAGACAACAGCACTTCAGACAAGTCTTCAACTCTCAAATCTGTTGTCAAGTCAGTTACTTTTAGACCAACCCTAAACCAAACCAACAGAAAAAAAAACAATTTGCTTTATTTATGAATGCATTCTCAAAATAAGTACATCCCTGGATGCCTCTCCAGTCCACACAAAGACATTTACATTTACTATTTCTTTTTTGTGCTACAACCTGGCCTGATAACACAAGTACATCAGCAGCATATCTGTTTCATGTAAGTTTTGTAATTTTCATTGTCATGTGTGATGTGCAGACTTCACTCATCTGCCAAACAGTGTTACACATCCCATGTTGCATGTCAGGTGACATTTAGTGGCTGTTTTTTGACATCTGTGATTTAGATTGTACAGTATGTGAACCTGCTTTTTTATCAAAAGTACATAAATAAGAGGCTTAACAGAACACAGTATTTTCAGATGACGCACTCGCTCACAGATGTGATTATAGGATAAAACTTTGATTATAAAGACAGCAAAGAAGTTTACACTGAACCATTCTGCTACTTCACACTGTCATTATGTGTGTGTTGATTAGGGTGTGTGTGTGTGTTTGTGGCTGTGTATGTACCTCTTTGGACGAGAGGATGGAGATGTAGTCTTCGTAGATCAAACGAGTCTTCTCCTCGATGGCACTCTTGTTGATCTCCTTCTTCAGGTCCTCGCAGGCCAGCCAGAAGAGCATGTTCTCCTCACTGTACTCTGTCCGCAGGAACTCACGGAACTTGTTCCGCCCTGCTGGGTTCTTCATCAGCTTATCGAAAGACTGCGCCCACTGTTTTATCTCCTCTATCGTCGGTTTGGGGCTGAGAGAGAGAGAGAGAGAGAGAGAGCGAGAGAGAGAGAGAGAGAGACATTAGGTACATTCACATTCCTAACAAACATAATAGTCCATGATGACTTGGTTGAGAGAAACAGCTCAACTCTCATGATGAAAACAGTATCTGGTGTATGTGTGTGTGTGTGTTCTCACCAAGGTTCACATAGAAAGGGCTCCAGCTTTGTCTCCTGGGCTTTCCTCCGCTCGCGCTTGTCATCTTCACTCCTAACAGTGAGACTAGAAGGTGGTAAAATGGCATTGAGAAATAACAGCAGTGCCTGAACAAAACAAAACAAAACAATCTAGACACACACAACACTCTCACATACAATATGCAAGGCGTTTCAACTTCATGTTCAGGTGAATTCATGAGATTTTTTTTTTTGCTCTTTCATTACTCAAGAAACTTAATTGAGTTTCTAATTTAATTATGAACTCATAAGTTTCTCTAGTCCCACCATATGGCTTTGAACCGGTTCATAAGAGTCAATTTTTTTGTGAATTGGTTTGACTACACTAGTCATACAAAATGGTTTGAATCACTAAAAAGAACTGGTTATTAAGAGTTATTTGTTCAGGACTTGGATGGACTACTTTGCTGATTTTTTATCTGAGCTAGTGCTGGCTGCAGATAAAGTCTTAATTGTTGGTGATTTTAATATCCATGTAGATAATGAAAAAGATGCATTAGGATCAGCATTTATAGACACTCTAAACTCTATTGGGGTTAGACAACACGTGTCAGGACCTACTCATTGTCATAATCATACTTTAGATTTAATACCATCACATGGAATTGATGTTAATGGCGTTGAAATTCTGCAGCAGAGTGATGATATCTCGGATCATTATCTAGTCTCGTGTATACTCCATATAGCTAAAGCTGCAAATTCAACTCCTTGTTACAAATATGGTAGAACCATCACTTCTACAACAAAAGACTGCTTTGTAAATAATCTTTCAGATTGGTCTCAATATCTTAGCATATCCAGTAGCTCAGAAAAACTTGATGGTGTAACAAACTATTGACTCTCCATGCATGCAACTATAGACAAGGTCGGTCCTTTATGCTTAAAGAAGTTCAAGGAAAACAGTCTGACACCGTGGTATAATAAGCACTCTCGCGCCCTAAAGAGAGCAGCCCAGAAAATGGAGCACAGCTGGAAGAAAACAAAACTAGAAGCATTTTGTATTGCATGGAGGGAAAGTACTTCTACTTACAGAAAAGCTCTAAAAACGGCTAGATCTGCTTACTTTTAGTCTCTTTTAGAAGAAAACAAAACAACCCCATGTATTTATTCAATACAGTGGCTAAATTAACAAAAAATAAAGCATCAGCAGGCGCAGACATTTCCCATCAGCATAGCAGTAATGACTTTATGGACTTCTTTACTTCCAAGATTGATACAATTAGAGATAAAATTATAACCATGCAGCTGTCAGGACAGGAAGAATTATATAACCAAGATCGATACTATTAGAGATAAAATTATAACCATGCAGCCGTAAGCTAGTATTGTATCAGACAGTGCACTATAGATTCCCTGAGGAACAATTCCACTCATTCTCTGCTATAGGACAGGAAGAATTGTGTAAACTCGTTAAATCATCTAAACCAACAACATGTTAGATCCTATACCATCTAAGATACTAAAAGAGGTGCTTCCAGAAGTCATAGTTTCTATTCTGAATATCATTAATTCATCGTCATTAGGATATGTCCCAAAAACCTTCAAACTGGCTGTTATTAAGCCTCTCATTAAAAAATAAATAAACAAAACTTAATCCTGGAGAATTAGTTAATTACAGACCGATCTCAAATCTCCCTTTTCTGTCAAAGATACTAGAAATGGTAATCTCCTCACAGCTATGTTCTTTCTTAGAGAATGGTATCTGTGAAGATTTCCAGTCAGGATTTAGACTGTATCATAGTAGAGAGACTGCTCTCATCAGAGTTAAAAATGACCTATTCTTATCATCCGATCATGGTTGCATTTCTTTTATTAGTGCTACTGGATCTTAGCACTGCATTTGACATTATCGACCACAACATTCTTTTGAATACACTAGAAAATTACATTGGCATTGGTGGAATTGCATTGGCATGGTTCAAATAATATTTATCTGACTGTCATCAATTTGTAGCAGTGAATGAAGAAGTATATCGTTCACAAGTGCAGTATGGAGTGCCACAAGACTCAGTACTAGGACCATTGCTTTTCATGCTTTACATGCTATACATGCTACCCTTGGGAGATACCATCAGGAAACATAGTGTTAGCTTTCACCGTTATGGTGAAGATACTCAGCTCTATACTTCTTCACTGCTCTACGAAACATACCAATTCACAAAATTGACAGAATGCATAGCTGATATAAAAAACTGGATGACTAGTAATTTCCTACTGCTAAATTCGGAGAAAAAAAAACAAACAAAAAAAACAGAGGTGTTAATTATCGGACCAAAATCCTCTGCATGTAATAATCTAGAACACTGCCTAACACTTGATGGCTGTGCTGTCATCATTTAGGACCCTAGGTGTGCTATTTGATAGCAACCTTTCCTATGAAAGTCATGTTTCTAGCATTTGTAAAACAACATTTTTCCATCTTAAAAATATATCTAAATTATAACCTGTGATCTCAATATCAAATGCAGAAATGTTAATTCATGCGTTCATGACCTCAAGGTTAGATTTGTCAGGATTATGGATTGGTTTTGTTGTGTTTTCCCTCCCCATGTGTTCCATGTCCCAGTTAATTGACTGATTCCATGCACCTGTGTTCCCCTGACTGCCCTGTGTTTAAAAGTCCCAGTCTTTTGTTTTTGTCAGGTCTTGAATGTCTTCCTTGTGTTCTGTGTCTCCTGTTGGATTATTAAAGACTCTCGTTTTTGTGAAATCTCCATGTCTCCTCGTTCCCTTGCTCCAGCGTACTGTGACAAGATTATTGTAATGCTAGAACCAGGAAGCATGACTATATTAGCCCTGCTCTGTCAACACTGCACTGGCTCCTTATTAAATATAGTATACATTTTAAAATCTTCCTAATTACTTATAAAGCCCTGAATGGTTTATCTCCTCAGTACTTGAGCGAGCTCTTATTGCATTATAGTTGTTCACGTCCGCTGCAATCTCAAAACTCTCGCCATTTGATAATATCTAGAACCTAATATTTGTCTGTTTTATTCTTATTTCAAGGTCACCGTAGCCACACAGATCTAGTCCGTATCCAGATCAGATGGTCACTGCAGTCACCAGGATCCAGCCCGTATCCAGTCCAGATGGTGGATCAGCACCTAGAGACGACCTCTACAGCCTTGAATGTCAGCGGAGACCATGTCAACTAGATGAGTCCCAGAGACAGATCCCCTGTGAAGACCTTGTCGGCCATCAGCACAAGACCATGAGAACCAGACGAGTCCTCTGCTCAATCTGATGTGTGTTGCAGCCTGGAATTAAACCACACCATGCTAGTTTCATCTGGCCAGAGGAGAATTGGCCCCCCGACTGAGCCTGGTTTCTCTCAAAGTGTTTTTCTCCATTTCTGTCACTGATGGAGTTTTGGTTCCTTGCCACTGTTGCTTTTGGCTTGCTTAGTTGGGGAACAATTTCTGGCAACATTGTTGACTGCACAGTCACTATTGGAAGAGAACTGAACTTAGCTGGACGATGACATCAATGAATAAACAATTAATTGACTTTAACTGATAAACGGATGGTTTTCTATTGTCCTCTTGCATTATCAGCACACATTTTTCCTGTTTAACACTGTAAAGCTACTTTGACACAATCTGTATTGTATAAAGTGCTATATAAATAAAGGTGACTAGACTTGACTTAAAACAACTGGTTCATAAGAGTCAATTGTTTGGGAATCAGTTGGACAATGCTGGTCATGCTGTATGGTTTTCATTCACTAGAAATAACCAGTTTATAAAAGTCACTAATTTGGTAACTGTATGGACTACACTAGTTGCACTGCATGGCTCTGAATCACTAAAAAGAACCTGTTCATAATTTGTTCACGAATCTGTTGGACCATACTTGGTTTAAAATCACTAAAAACAATTGGATCATAAGAGTCATTCAGCTGGTAATTGGTTGAACTATACTGGTCATGCTGTATAGTTTTGAATCACTAAAAAGAACCGGCTCATAAGAGTCACACATTCAAGAAATTGTTGGACTACACTAATCACACTAAACGATTTTGAATCACTAAAAAGAACTGGTTCATATAAGTTATTCATTCGGGAATCGTTTGGACCACACTGATTGAAAATCTTTGAATCACTAAAAAGAACTAGTTACTGAAATATCTACAGAATGAGCTACATTAATGAAGCTCTGTCATTAAGAGGACATCAGAGTTTGGATCTCAGTGGTCACTGTAAATAGCTATGTGCAGCAGGTGTGTTTGAAGAATGAGTGTGAGTGGATAAGTGTGTGAAAGATGTGTGGGTGTGAATATGGCTCCTATTTCCTCCAGGGCTTCTGGTGAAACGAGAGCAATCTTAACCACATTTACTCTCCTGACTCATAGTACACTTGAATTTCACTCATCCAGAGAAGCACACACACTTACACAGCAATTAACGTGTGTATGTTCACAGAAGCATGTATTCACCTGTACTCATAAACACATACCATATTTCATACTGAAAAACATCACATTTCATTCACACACATATAAAAATAACTGAGTGTTGTGTTGAGGGATCTTGATATGACAGTAGGAGGGAGAGCTTCATAACTTATTCAACTTAATGTGGCATATTTGCAAGTGAAACTGAATATTCAGCCAGAAATAACACAGGATTGAATTTATCCTCAGGGATTTTATTGTATTGTAAAAGTAGGCTATGGTATTATTGGTTAATGATATTTTTAGGTATTACAGTTTGATGAAAAACTATGAAAACAAACATTTTATTTCTTTAGGATAACGTGCAATGACGAATTGTGCACAATAAAACAAGGAACATGTTTTAAGAAAGTAAACAGGGTCTATTTTTAGTTATTGTTGACTAAATAGAAATCAAACACACACACACACACACACACACACACACATATACATATACATATACACATATATATATATATATATATATATATA